AAAGCTGAATGAGGAAGTTTCTGATAAAGTTCCAGGGAGTTGTGAACAAATGAACTCATTAGTACCTTTTCCAATGCAAAGAATTTCGTTAACGAAGATATCAAATGCTTCGCATTCTGGTTTGTCAAAGGGATCTAAACATTCCCTACACACATTTTCATAAATGAGCTTTGTAAAAATGCATCCATGTTACAAAGATGTCCTTTGGAGAACAGAGAAAGAAAAGGGCAGTAGCTAGTAAAAGATCAAATGCAAGGGGATGAAGGAAGGACAACGGATGATTGAATATGCAATTCAATTGGTGGAATACAGAAATATTAAAAAACTATCAGTATCTGAAGTAATGAGCTTTTTAATGCAGCTGCTACCAATGCTAATGCTTGAACAAATAAAAAACATGACATCTAACTGTCTCGAAATAAGCATACTGGAAAAAAAAAAATGAAATTCACCTCTCAATGATCTCTGGTCGGCTGTAATTAGATAACAGCTGCAGGCAAAAGCAAACCAGAAAATTTATAAACAGTCACCAGCCAGCTACCAACAATAAGACAAATTTGGAGGGACAAACTAGCACCCCAAAATAACTGTAACAGAAGTAGTACGATCAAAGGCAACAGAAATACAGAAGATATATACAACATAAAAATTTGATACATTTTCAAAGAAATATATCAAATTTTAATTTTCAAACATTTTCATTCATCTAAATGCTAACATCAAAACTAAAAACAATACCTCATATGCTTTGATTACTCGGCGGATCATTGCGTCTGATTCACCATTTCTATTTAAATCAGGATGGTACTGCTTCACCTTTTTACCCAAAAAATAAACAAAATTGAAAAGAAAAACAATTAGATAATACGTCACTCCGAATTAGCATGAGCATATTTAAAAAAACCAAAAAAAAAAAAATAAATAAATAAAGAGGAACAAAATTACTATTTCCTTCCAGTTTTCTACTCTGGATTTTGCTGCATCCACTGCTCAAACATTGTATGCAGAAGAAGAAACTGAGCATTTAATTTCTTTTCAACAATTTTCTCAGCAATTTTACCAAAAGAGGAAACAGTATTCTCAGCAAATTATACAATAGGACCTACGTTGAATTGAAGGGAGGAACAGAGTTGGTTAACGTACTTTAGTGCGGAAAGCAGCTTTGAGGTCGACGGCTGAGCAGCCGGAGTCGACGCCGAGGATGGAGTAAGCCAAAGAACTGGTGAGGCTTGTATCTCCAGAATTCGCCGCGAATCGAGGAGAACGGCGGCGAGGGTGAGTTATTGGGGAAGGGAAGTTGGAGAAGGAGTGAGTGTAGGGAAGCAGAAGGGTTCTTGGAAGTGGAAGAATCGGAGGAATTGAACAGTAGAGAGGAAAGCATTCCATTTCTCTGTTTCTCTCTCTAGATTTCTGTTAATTGTTTTCTCTTTAACGAAACACCAGACGATTTTCTACAGCAGATAGTAGACAACGTAAACAAGACCAAGGAAGGCGGAACATTGTGGGTCCCACAATGTTAATGGCTCTGATTTTATTTTATTTTATTTTATTAATGTTATGGTCACGATATATTCACTAATAAGCTGACGGGTTATTAAATAGGTAAATAGTTATAATATTTTGAGTTATTAATAATCACCTTTGCTGGTTTTATATTTAATTTTAATTTTTTCAATTAATTAATAAAGTTAATTTACATGGTCATGACATTGGTGTTAAA